AGTGCTTGGGTATTGTTAGGAGGGCACTGACTTTCTAGGCTGCCTTATCTATGTTTCCTGGTAAAATACATGGGAAAATCCCATTGGAGGAAAATTCCAGTTAGGGTTAGGGTTACGTCATCGTGAACTCCTAGAGCAAAATGGACATCACCAACAAACTCGGAGTGCTTGGGTACGGTTAGGAGGGCACTGACTTTTCTAGGCTGCCCTATCTATGTTTCCTGGAAAAATACATGGGAAAATCCCATTGCAGGAAAATTCCACTTAGGGTTAGGGTTACGTCACCGTGAACTCCTAGAGCAAAATTGCCATCGCCAACAAACTCGGAGTGCTCGGGTATGGTTAGGAGTGCACTGACTTTTCTAGGCTGCCTTATCTATGTTTCCTGGTAAAATACATGGGAAAATCCCATTGGAGGAAAATTCCAGTTAGGGTTAGGGTTACGTCACCGTGAACCCTTAGAAGAAAATGGGACATCTGCCAACAACTCGGAGTGTTGGGTATTGGTTAGGAGGGCACTGACTTTTCTAGGATACCTTATCCTATGTTTCCTGGTAAAATACATGGGAAAATCCATTGGAGGAAAATTTCATTAGGGTTAGGGTACATCACCTGTGGAACTCCTAGAGACAAAATGGACACGCCAACAACAACTAGGACGTGCTGGGTTATGGTTAGGGAGCGCACGACCTTTCTAGGCTTGACTATCTATTTTTCCTGGTAAAATACATGGGAAAATCCCATGGAGGAAAAATTCCAATTAGGGGTATAGGGTTTACATCACGTGAACTCCTAGAGCAAATGGACATCGCCAACAAACTAGGAGTGCTTGGGTATGGTTAGGAGAGCACTGACCTTTCTAGGCTGCCCTATCTATTTTTCCTGGTAAAATACATGGGAAAATCCCATTGCAGGAAAATTCCAGTTAGGGTTAGGGTTACATCATCGTGAACTCCTAGAGCAAAATGGACATCGCCAACAAACTCGGAGTGCTTGGGTATGGTTAGGAGGGCACTGACTTTTCTGGGCTGCCCTATGTATGTTTCCTGGTAAAATACATGGGAAAATCCCATTGGAGGAAAATTCTGTCAGAATGCAGCTGGAAGGGACCTCGGAGGTCTTCTAGTCCAGCCGCCTGCTGAAGCAGGAGACCCTACGTGGAATTTTCCTCCAAGGGGCCCTATTAATAAGGTGTTAATACCGTTAATAAAGATAGAGAATACCATCATTTTAAAATGCCATTAAAAAGGTTTATTTCTTTTGTTGTTGTTGTTAATTGCGAAGTCGTGTCTGACCCATAGCGACCGCGTGGACAATGTTCCTCCAGGTCTTCCTGTCCTCTACCATCTTCTGGAGTCCATTTAAGTTCACACCTATTGCTTCAGTGACTCCATCAACACCTCATTCTCTGTCGTCCCCTTTTTTATTGCCTCAGCTTTCCAGCAATTAGGCGCTTCTCAGTGGTCCGTCATCTCATTAGGTGGCCAAAGTAATTGAGTTTCAACTTCAGGATCTGGCCTTCTAAAGAGCAGTCGGGGTTGATCTCTTCTAGGACCGACCGGTTTGAACGCCTTGCAGTCCAAGGGACTCGCAGGAGTCTTCTCCAGCACCACAGTTCAAAGGCCTCAATTCTTTTGCGCTCAGCATTTCTTATGGTCCAACTTTCACAGCCATACATTGCAACTGGGAAAACCATGGCCTGGACTATGCGTACTTTTGTTGGCAGGGTGATGTCTCTGCTTTTAGTACGCTGTCAGATTTGCCATAGCGTTCCTCCCAGGAGCACCCCCCAAAACGGTCTTTTAATTTCTTGGCTGCAGCACCAATCTGAAGTGATTTGGGCCCAGAAACAATAACAATCTGTCACCACCTCCATTTCTTCCCCATCTATTTGCCAGGAAAAAAAAAAATTGAGTGGGCCGGATTGCCCATGATTTTGGTTTTCTTAATGTTGAGTTTTCAAGCCAACGTTTCACTCTCCTTCATTCACCACGCATCAAGACGGCTCCTTAGTTCCTCTTCATTTCTGGCCCTTAGAGTTGGTATCATCTGCATATCTTAGGTTTGTTGATATTTCTCCCGGCAATCTTAATTCCAAGCTTTGGTTTTCATCTAGACCCTTGCTTCGCACGATGTCGCTCGCCTATAAGTTAAATAGGCCGGGCGACAGAATAACAGCCTGCGGGACTCCTTTTCCAATTTTTGAACCATCAGTGGTTCCGTGTCCGGGTCTCACTGTTGCTTCTTCACCCGCATATAGGTTTCTCAAGAGACAAATAAGATGGTCTGGTATTCCCATCTCTTTAAGAACTTGCCACAATCCACACAATGAAAGGCTTTAGCATAGTCAATGAAGCAGAAGTAGATGTTTTTCTGGAACTCCCTAGCTTTCTCCATGATCCAGTCGTATCGCGCTTCCCTGTGTTACACCTTAAGAGGTTGCTCCTAAAAGTGCACCCCGCTCGCCCCCTTCAAGCAAACCCAGATGTTTTTATTCAAGAATAGTTTTGTTTGTCCTGCCCTTCTTTTTCTTTAAGGAGATCGTACGTATGTAGGTTTGTATTTGGGCTTGGTGTTTCTAAACTATATTTCTTAGAGATACCTATGTATTAATATAAGCGCAATATCAAATATCTATTTGAAATATTGTGTATTTTTATTACGAAACGATCAATATAAAAATAAATGTAGTTTATTTTGAAAAAGGCTATAACCTATCGTTACCCTTATAGTTTATCATTTAAAGGATGGATATAAAAGGGGTGAGGACGTGCGAGTTGCCAACTAATGGCATTTATTATTTGTTCGCCGTCCATCTAACTTGGTAGGCTCGTCTATACTAAGTGTAATACCGTTAATAAAGATAGAGAATACGGTCATTTTAAAATGCATTAAAAAGGTTTATTTCTTTGGGTCGGCCGAAAACAACATCTTTGACCCAGGAAGGGACGCACGTTTTTCTGGCCCATAGCTTTTGGCTTGGAGTCCATCCTAGGCCTTTTTAATGGCCTCCATCCTATAGCTAAGGCAGGGGTAAGGCAACCTTGGCTCTTTGATGACTGGTGGACTTCAACTCCCAGAATTCCTGAGCCAGCCCTGCTAAGGGACGGAAAACTGGTCAAATAAGATACTGCGGCCAGAAAAATAAATAAACCTCTTTAAGATGATTATTCTTGATTATTAAAACCTTATTAATATGAATAAGCCACAATAGGCCTTAACTCTGTTTAAGATTGGAACCAGGATTTCTTCTGCGCCCGTGTGGCACCGACCGGGCCCCCCCGTCGCCACGTTAATATTAATCATAAAGCGTTAAGAATAAAAATAGAGAAGAGTAAGCTTCAAATGCTATTCAAAAGTGTTTATTTCTTTGGGGGGCAGCACTACCCGTTTTTGACCACAGGAGGGCAGTGTTTCCCGTCCCATAGCCTTACCAGGGAGGCCGTCGTAGGCCACTTGCCCAGGATCGGGACACCGAGAAGCCAAGCCCCAAAGCGCAGAGCGTCAGCCCAAGGGTCGCCACTCTATGCTCCTCCGAAAGGGACGGGCCGCTTCCCTCGGCCTTCTGCGCGTGTCCGCCGGCTGGTTCTTCACGAGTAATCTGCGAGAGGCCCTCTCTGGACGGCGGGCTTCCTGTCCGTCGGTATCGGCCGTCCCCCAGGTGCTGCGGTAAAAGGACCTTTCCATCATGTCCGACTTCCGTTCCTTCGTTCTTAATCTTTCCCCCTACTTCCTTTCGGGTAGACCTCCTCAGCATGTCCGACTTCCTGTCCGTTCAAATTCGCCGTCCTCCAGGGTCTTTGAATTGCGACCTTCCCAATATGGCCGGCTTACGGTCCGTGCTTCTTAATCGTCCTTCCACTTCCTTTTTTTCGGGGACCTTCTGGGCAGGGCGGACTCCACGTCCGATCAACGAGGTAAGCCTTGAAAACCCCATTCAAAAGGCTTATTTCCCTTGGCTGCCGAAATACCCGTCCCATAGCATTTACCAGCGTAGGCCTTTTCCACGGCCTCAATGCCGCTATCGCTAAGGGAGGGAAAACAGTGCCCTCCCGTGGCCATGCCGGGTATAGCAGCCACCAAAAGAAATAAACCTTTGAAAATGGCAAAAGGGCCTCCCGTCGCCCTATTAATATTAATAAGAGGTTACTAATAGAGACGGGGGAAAAATAAAGAGCCTTAAAATCCCATTTAAAAGCTTTATTTTTTTCGGCGACCGCAGTACCCGTTTTTGACCACGGGGGGCACAGTTTTCCGTCCCGTAGCATGACCACCGACGACGACGTTCCCAGCACGGCCGAGTTCCTGTCCATCCGCCGAAGTCGTCCCCGACTTCCTGTCCGTTCGCAGCACGGTTCCCTGCTTTGTCCCGTGCTCTTTTCTGCACTACGTGGACGGAGCGCACGTCTCCCGGCGAGGCCTCGGGAAGGAAAAAAAGGAAGCCTGCTACTGCCTCAGGTGAGCCGAGCCATCCCCGCATTTCCTGATTCCAGAAACATACCGGCTTTCTCTGTTACGTAGTTAGCGGAGGATCCCCACCTTCCCCCTCCCCCGCCTCCTCCCCGGCCACTCGTTTGGTCCTCTCCCCTAAGATGTCCGCCTGGCCGTTCCTGGCCTTTCGCCGCCGGTGTCTGTAAAAATGCGACCGAGACCCGGTGGCGGCGGCGGCGCCGGAGGTTGCGAGACCTGGTCTCTTTGCGCTCTTTCCCTTTCAGCTATAGGGGCTAAATTGGGAACGTAGAGACGAAGTTTGCTTGTTTTAACAACACACTTCGGGGTGGCTTATGCGAGCTCAGCCGCGGCTTCTTTTTAGCTCCTTTTTAGAGGCGGTGCCGGCGGGACACGCTCCAGGCTTTTGGCCTCCAGGTCTGGAAGGGGGGTCCGACCCGTCTCGGGGGTCTCCTCGAAGGCTGCCAAGCAAGGCAGCCGTTGAATGGTGTTTTCCGAGCGCCCGAGTCCCGGATGTAGAAGAACCAGTCGTATCGCGCTTCCCTGTGTTACATCTTAAAGAGGTTGCTCCTCCAAAAAGTGCACCCCGCTCGCCCCCTTCAAGCAAATCCAGGTATTTTTATTCAAGACTAGTTTTGTTTGTCCTGCCCTGCTATTTCTTTAAGGAGATCATACCTATGTAGGTTTGTATTTAGGTTTGATATTTCTAAACTATATTTCTTAGAGATCCCTATGTATTAATCTAGGCGCAATATCAAATCTCTATTTGAAATTGTGTGCATTTTTATTAAGAAACGATCAATATAAAAATAAATGAAGTTTATTTTGAAAATGTGTATAACCTATCGTTCCCTTCTAGGTTTATCATTTAAAGGATGGATAAAAGGGATGAGACGTGAGAAGTCGCAACTAATGAATGGCTTTTATTATTTTGTTCGCCGTCCATCTAACTTTGTAGACCTTTGTCCAAAACAAGTCAGGGTTAGGAAGGGTAGGAGATTTCTTCCTTTCCTCTCCAGGTTGCCGTAAACAGCCCACCCACCGCCCAGAGGTAAGAGAAAGGTAAAGCAGGTCTCTCTGGGGGAAGCAGGAGACCCGGGTCTTTGCAGAGACTTGCAATTTTGCTAACTTCCCCCAGTCACAGCTGCATCGACTGATGTAGCGGCCAGGAGGAAGGGTGGGGAGGAAGGGTGGGGACGCCTGCCGGATGAAAGCTTCAGCCTTTTTGGAAAAGGCAGTGGAGAAAGGAGGTCACGCTCCCTCTGCCAAATGGGTGACCCCCCCCCCTTTCTGTGGCTGTTAAGAAGGAACTGGGGGAAAACAGATAAGTTGTTCTTGAGGATTTTTCCCCCCCTTTTTTGCCAGCTTCAGTGAGATTAAGGCTTTTCCTTTTAAAAAGACGGGGATGGAACTGGAGGAAGGTTGGGAGCCCAGTAAAAACCGCAAGAGGCAGTGGGAAACACGGTGGGAGGTTGCGATTACCCCAGCTCCTCTAAATATTGCAGTTTTGGTGGGAAATAGCAGGAGGTAGGATTCCTCTCTTAGGAAAGCTCAGGTCTTTCAGATACCTTGCTGGTCCCCACACACCCCATTTAATCCATTTTCTTGCTGCAGAGAGAGATTCTGTTAAGTTCTAGCTGGAACTCCACGTCTCTTATTCTGTTGGTAGCTGCTTTGCGTAGGTTGGGTGTAGCCTAGGGATATTTAAAAACAGTGAGGAAAGTCCACAGGAGGCCCCCTTAGGCTCCCATCGCCTGTTTCCTGGGAGAGGGGAAGTTATTTATTGAGACTAAAGCGGTCAAGCCCTCTGGGAAGAATTGAGTCCTACGGTTAAAGAAGGAATAGCAGTCACAAAAGGAAATAAATCCTTTTAATATGATTTTAAGATTATTATTATTGATCTATTGAAGTTATTGAATGGTATTAAGGGTCAAAAAACAGTGCCATCCTGTGATTGAAGCAGGTAGAGGAGCCATTAAAAAACTTTTCAATAGAGGAGAATAAATAAAGGTCAAAAGTGAAAATATGTCTATAATAATGTATAATAATATGAATTATTCTTAGTAAGAAGTAGAACATGTAGGAAGAAAAATGTAAATAAGAAATAATGGGGCTATAAGGACAAATATTCTAAAGAAGAATAAGGGGGAAATGTAAATATTAGATTACCGTTACGTAATTGCTGTAAAAAAAAAGGAGTATATATTGTATGTGTATGTGTGTTATGTTTTGCTTTGTTCTGTTTTGTTGGTTAAAAATAAAAATTAAAAAAAAAACTTTTCAATGGCATTTTAAGGTTATTCTTTATTATTAAAACCTTATTAATATTAATAGGGCATCATAGTCCTCCTTAACCAGATTTAAGGCTTTTGAAGCAGATTTCTTCTTCCGCGCCTGCGTTGCAGCAAACGGGCCTCCCCTGGCCCTATTAATAAGGTGTTAATACTGTTAATAAAGATAGAGAATTTAAAATGCCATTAAAAAGGTTTATTTCTTTTGGTGGCCACAATATCTATTTTTGACCACAAGAGGGCACACTTTCCCGTCTCATAGCTTTAGCTTGGAGTCCATGGTAGGCTTTTTTTAATGGCCTCCATCCTATAGCCAAGGGACAGAAAACTCTGTCAAATCAGATCCTGCAGCCACAAAAATAAATAAACCTCTTTAATGGCGTTTTAAGATGATGATTATTCTTTATTATTAAAACCTTATTAATATTAATAAGCCACGATAGGCTCATTCCCATCCCCTACTACACTTGACTTGCAATCACGGTATACAGGCCATGTGGCAAAGTACCACAAGTGGTACACATACCACTGGTTGAAAAGCCCTGCTCTATAATTATTAATATCAAGGCTTCTAATAATACAGATGCAAAAGAATAACCTCAAAATCCCGACTGTTCTGTTCCCTGAACCTGTCTTGCCCTCTCCGGCTGTAAAACGGGGCCCAAGGGCCATTTTACAAATGCAGATGGGGCAACTAAGCCTGAGAAAGAATCCCTGAAATTTATGTTTCCAACATATGAACTGTATCTCTATGTTCCCAATTTGGCCTCTTGTTTTTCTCCCTCTGAAGTGGAAAGGGCACAAAGAGACCCAGCCTCCTAGTCTCTCGTACCGGCATCCAGCCGCCTGCTTAGGGACAGGAAGTCGGCCATGCCGAGAAGGTCGTTCTGAATGGAAGTGGAAGGACGGCCACAGAACCGGACAGGAAGTTGGCCATCCCGGGGAGGTCGGTGTGTAAGACAGTGGAGGACTACTGCGCATGTGTGACTGGAAGTTGGCAGGTAAGGTTGATTTCCTTGTGTGGCTGCTATTCCTGCCTAAGGCTGCGTTCTGATGACTTTGTCCCTAAAATAACAACATAGTCTTTCATATCTTGGGAAAGCCTGACTTTTTTGCCCTCTTTTGGGCAAGGAAAGAGTAGGGCCTCAGGTTTTTAAGAAGAGACTTGACAACCATTTGTCTGACGTGGTACTATAGGCTTTCCTGCTGGACTACAAGACCTTCCAACTCTATTGTTGTTATTGTTGATCTCCCAAAGCAATTGCTCACTGTATTTTCTTCTACTGTTTAGAAGGAAAAACATAACAGAAAGGAGAAACTATTCTCCTTTTAGCCGTTGTTTTGTGGTTAATTCAGGGTTCGGGGGAAATTTGACCGGCTCCTCTGGTTCAAGCCTGTGCTCCAGCTCAAAATATGGAGTTGTGTTGTTTTGAGAAGGCTGTGCCAATAGCAACTGGGAGGTCTTGTGGCAGGATTTGATTCTCTTCACCCCAAGACCAGCTGGTAAAAGCAGGAAATTAAACCGATCAAGAATTCTGGTGATTTGTTATGATTCCTACAACTCAGTGCTTTTTTCTTAGGCCCTAGGAGTAGGTAACCCAAAACACTCGAAGAGCCACTTGGACCCATTTACAACCGAAAACATCTTTTATGACTCATGGACTTCTACTCCCAGAATTCCTGCGTCAGCATAGCTGGGCTAGCTAGCTCTCTCCTGCCCTTCCTGCTTCCTGCAGAGACGCAGCAAAAGGAGGAGTGCCATCCAGTAAGCTTTTTAGCTCGTCGGAGAACACTGTGAGTCCACTCTCTTTTTTACACACACACACACACACACACACAGAGAGAGAGAGAGAGAGAGAGAGAGAGAGAGAGGAGGGGGGAAGCACAAGTGCCTCTCTCTCTGTCTGCAAATGGCAGAGGAGGCTGGGAGCCGCAGGGGAAGGCTCAAAGAGCCATATGCGGCTCCAGAGCCGCAGGTTGCTGACTCCTAGGGGCACTCAGAGTACACCTGTGATAAAGGAATATACATAATAAGCAAACACGTATAAAACTGAGTTTAGTCAAAGCAGCAAAGTCTGCCCTCTTGTGGCCAGTGTGCTGTAACGTTTAGCAAAGAAGCCCTGAAGTGGCTTATTTTTATTCTTTCATTTCCTTCCTTTGATGGAAGCTCAAAGCAGCCACAGAAGAGGCTGCTGGGAATACAAAAGATAATTGCAGAAGCTAAAATTTCATTTCTAATAGGGCACTGAGGAGGGCAAAACAGGGAATGCTGCCCTCCTGTAGCCAGGTAAGTCCATGGCATTTTTTCCCCAAGGTACAGCAGAAAAGGTTACTGGATAGATTAAATAGATATAGATTGGGTGTCAAACTCAATTTCACTGAGGGCCGCATCAGCATTGCAGTTGCTTGGGGGGGGGCTGGGGGTGTGTGGCCAGAGTGGGTGTGGCCTACTGGGTGGGTGTGCATGGAGTAGGTGTGGCCTACTGGGTGGGCGTGCCCAATTCTACACCAGTCGCGTCAAGGGTGCCTGTGGGGGTCTGGGCAGGAATGGGACAGATCTGAGGGTCTCTGGCAGAAGGGGGTGGGACGGGGGCAAGTGCCAAGGCATGGTCCACTGGGGCAAGTACCAAGATGGCCACCACAAAATTGTACATTGGCTCCCAGCCGGCTGGGGCCAAGACAGCGGGCTCCCTCACTGTTTCCAGGATGGCTTTGTGGGCCACATGAAACCACTTTGCGGGCCACATCCGGCCCCCGGGCATTGTGCTTGACATGTCTGATATAGATGATTAATAGGTGAGATAGATAATAGATGAGAGAGGGAGAGAGAGAAATCTAAAACATTTGTTATATAAAGCACAAAAAACTTCATTGGAAGTTTATTTTGGTAGAACCCCCAAATCCTTACAAAAGATGATCCTCAGTGATTTCGGCACAGGGCAGGAGCACAAGGTGCCTAACAGGTCCAAGCTCCTGACCGCCGGATCCCAAATATATTCATATTCATATTAGTAAAGTTGGAAGGGACCTTGGAGGTCATCTAGTCCAACCCCCTGCTCGGGCAGGAAACCCTACACCATTTTGGACAAGTGGCTGTCCAGTCTCTTCTTAAAAACTTCCAGTGTTGAAGCATTTACTGCTTCTGGAGGCAAGCTGTTCCACTGATTAATTGGTCTCACTGTCAGGAAGTTTCTCCTTAGTTCTAGGTTGCTTCTCTCCTTGATTAGTTTCCACCCGTTGCTTCTTGTCCTGCCTTCAGGTGCTTTGGAAAATAGCTTAATTACCTCTTCTTTATGGCAGCCCCTGAGATATTGGAATACTGCTATCATGTCCCCCCTTGTCCTTCTCTTCGTTAAACTAGACATACCCAATTCTCGCAACCGTTCCTTATATGTTTTAGCCTCCAGTCCCCTAATCATCTTTGTTGCTCTTCTCTGTACTCTTTCTAGAGTCTCAACATCTTTTTTGCATCGTGGTGACAAAAACTGGATGCAGTATTCCAAGTGTGGCCTTACCAAGGCATTGAAGAGTGGTATTAATACTTCCCGTGATCTTGATTCTATCCCTCTGTTAATGCAGCCTAGCACTGTGTTGGCCTTTTTGGCAGCTGCCGCACACTGCTGGCTCATATTTAAGTGATTGTCTACTAGGACTCCGAGGTCCCTCTCACAGTTACTACTATTGAGCATGGTGCCACTTATGCTGTACTTGTGCATTTGGTTTTTCTTGCCTAAATGTAGAACCTTGCTTTTTTCACCATTGAATTTCATTTTGTTAGTTAGGGCCCAGTGTTCAAGTCTGTCCGGATCCTTCTGTATCTTAAGCCTGTCTTCTGGAGTGTTGGCTATTCCTGCCAGCTTGGTGTCGTCTGCAAATTTGATGAGTTCCCCATCTATCCCTTCATCCAAATCGTTGATGAAGATGTTGAAGAGTACTGGGCCCAGAACAGAGCCCTGGGGCACCCCACTACACAATTCCCTCCATATAGATGCAGTTCCATTGAGGACCACTCGCTGAGTACGGCCGGTCAGCCAGCTACGGATCCATCTGGTGGTGGTTCTGTCTACCCCACATTTTTCTATCTTGTCAAGTAGTAGGTTGTGATCTACTTTATCAAATGCCTTACTGAAGTCCAAGTAAATTATGTCCACAGCATTCCTCTGATCCACTAATTTTGTCACTTGTTCAAAGAATGCAATAAGATTTGTCTGGCATGATCTATTTTTGACAAACCCATGTTGGCTTTTAGTAATGACTTTGTTTGCCTCTAGGTGTTCATTGATTCGTTGTTTGATTATCTTTTCCAGGATCTCCCAGGTATTGAGGTCAGGCTGATAGGTCTGTAATTTCCTGGATCCATTTTTTTTCCTTTTTTGAGGATGGGAACTACATCAGCTCTTTTCCAGTCCTCTGGTAGTTCCCCTGTGTTCCAGGAGCTTTGAAAAATATAGTTCAGTGGCTCCGATATCACATCTGCCAGTTCCTTGAGAACTCTGGGATGTAATCCCTCTGGTCCTGGCGATTTGAACTCATCTAGGCTGGACAGGTGCTCACTAACCATTTTCTTGCCTATCTTAATTTGTGTTTCTGTTTTGTTTTTTATGGCACTATTTTTGATAGGTTGGTCTGTTTTTTCCCTTTGTGTAAAGACAGATGCGAAAAATGAGTTAAATAGTTCTGCTTTCTCCCTGTTGCTTGTCACCTTCTTGCCACTTCCACCCACTAATGGACCAATCATTTTCTTCACTTTTTTCTTGTTTTTTACATGTTAGAAGCTTTTTTTTGTTATTTTTGACTTTGGTCGCAAGCCTTAGTTCATTTTGAGCCTTGGCTTTCTTCACTTCATCTTTGCAGGCTCGGGCTATTTGCTGATATTCTAACTTAGTTATGTTCCCCTCTTTCCACTTTCTATACTTGTCCTTTTTATCTTTCAATTTGTCAGAGAGTTCTTTATGCAGCCATGCTGGTTTCTTTTGGGAGCTGTTGTTTTCCTCTTTGTTGGTATTGTGCTAGACCACAGGTCGGCAACCTGCGGCTCCGGAGCCGCATGCGGCTCTTTGAGCCTTCCCCCGTGGCTCCCAGCCTCCTCTGCCTTTGCAGAGAGAGACAAAGACAGAGAGAGGCAATTGTGCTTCCCTGCTTCTCTCTGTGTGTGTGTGTGTGTGTGTGTGTGTGTTTTTGTGTGTGTCTGTGTGTGTGTGTCTGTGTGTGTGTATGTGTAAAAGAGAGTGCACTCACAGTATTCTCCGAGGAGCTGAAAAGCTTACTGGGCGGAGCTCCTCCCTTTGCTGCATCTCTGCAGGAAGCAGGAAGCAGGAAGGGCAGGAGAGAGCTAGCGAGCCCAGCTAGGCTGACTCAGGAATTCTGGGAGTTGAAGTCCATGAGTCATAAAAGAGAGAGGTTGCTTATTGGACAACAGCTTGAAGCTTGCCAGGTGAGCAGCAGATGGGGGGGGGAGAAAGAGAGAGAGAGAAAGAGAGAGAGAGGGAGGGAGAGAGAGAGGAAAGAGAGAGAGAGAGAAAGAAAGAGAGCGGGGGAAGAGGAGTGGCAGACCAAGGGCAGATAGAGAGGGAGGGACAGAGAGACAGAGAGAGAGAGACCCTTTTGACATCTAAAATGAAGATAACACTGCATATATCCTTTTTTTTACGTGTGTGTGTGTTTGTGTGTGTGTGTGTGTATACACATACATATATACATATACATATATACACACACACACATACATACACACACACACACACACACCTATAATAAAGGTAAAAAAGGATATATGCAGTGTTATCTTCATTTTAGATATCAAAAGGGTTTTGCGGCTCCAAGTGTTTTGTTTTTGGTGGGAAACGGGTCCAAGTGGCTCTTTAAGTGTTTTGGGTTGCCTACCCCTGTGCTAGACTGTGCTTTTATTATCTCATTTTTCAAAATTTCCCAAGCTTCGTGAGTTGTTTTCCCCTTGAGGATTCTCATCCATGGAATCCTTCCCAAGCCCTAAGTTTATTGAAATTAGCTCTCTTGAAGTCCAAGACTCTAGTTTGACTGTGTTCTATTGCTTGTGCTTCTATAATGTTGAATTCTAATATAATGTTGAATTCTAATATTGCATGATCACTTCCTCCCAGGGTTCCTATGGCTTCAACACCGTCTATCATTTCAACTCTGTTAGTGAGAATTAGATCCAAAATGGCTAATCCCCTAGTTCCCTTCTCTACTTTTTGGGAGACAAAGTTGTCTGCTAGGTTTGCCAGGAACCTGTTTGATCTTCCCCTTGGTGCGGAGTTTGTCTCCCAGTTGATGTCAGGGTAGTTAAAGTCCCCCATTACTATTGTGATGTGCTTCCTACATACCTTAGTTAGCTGACTGGCAAAAAGTTCATCTATTTCCTCTGTTTGGTTGGGTGGTCTGTAGTATACACCTATGGTAATGTCATTCCCCCCCCTTTATATTGACCCAAATGCATTCAAGACAGTTTTTATCATTGTTGTGCTCTATTTCTGTGGAGATGTAGTTATTTCTTATATAGAGAGCAACTCCACCTCCTCTTTTATTTGGTCTGTTTCTTTTAAATAATTTAAATCCCTCTAGCTGTGTGTTCCATGTGTGGGTTTCATCCCACCATATTTCCCTAATGGCAACAATATCGTATCTGCCCTCATTAACCTGAATTTCTAGTTCACCCTGTTTGCTGTTATACTCTGTGCATTGGTGTATAAACATTTGAGTCCTTTGTGGGTGGCCCTGTGTTTCCTTTCTACATAACCTGTGTGGTGCCTGAGTTCCCCTATTGTCTTACCACCTATTTGGTTAGTGCACTTTTATGTGGCACTCGCTATTAGAGGCTTCATTTTGCTTGATAGCAAGGTTGATATTCTTGTCCACACACACATCTATGCT